CAACATTGACGATTGCATTGCCAGAGTCTGGGAACTAGAGTTAACTGCTCGTGAGAATCTTCCTGGTCGACCTGCTGCAACTGACTCCTCGAATACTAGTTCCAAGTATTTGAGAATCGAAGGGGAGACCGAAGAGGATGAAGGCCCCGAACCGGCAGGGTAGCAACCTCCTTCCACCAAGGAGAATGAAGATCCTTCTCTCCTTTCGGGTTCTGGAAACAAAGAATAAAGTATTATTTTTTCTTTTATCTTTTGTAATTATGCCAAAACTCTTTTACTAGTTAGGCACTTTAATAAATAAAAGAATTTTTCGCTTAAGTGTTGCGCAAAATATCTTTTTTACATTTAGTTGATAAAGTTTTGGGTATATTTTTTCATCTGATAACTTTCAATTCCGGGCATAAACACTTCCAAAAATCTTCCCTTTACTATTAGGGTTTCAGAAGCGAGGGCCTTTATGTTTAAGTGCTCTTGAAGAGGATGTCTTCTGTTCATCCGGCACAAGCATTTGAAGTTTTTGTTAACTTTCAAACAACAAAATAAATTAACTTATCTTTTGGACAAGAAACAAGATAAAAATAAAAGGATCTTGCTTTATTCCCTTTATCTTTAAAAGTACATAGGCATTCACTTTCTTAAGTAAGCCAATACATATGGCTAACTTGTACTAGGGGTGTTCAAAACCGATCCGAATCGAAGCTTAATGGCTTACCGGTAACGGCTTAACGGCTTAACGGACGGGGAACGGATTGAAATTTTTTTATTAAAGGCTTATCGGTTTGGGGGCGGATTATTCAATTTTCTTAAGGGATAATCCGTTAACCCGTTAAGAATATAAATATATATATATATATATATATATATATATATAAAATCCAAAATCCAATAAGCTATCTTTTATAAAGTTTAGAATTCACAGACTCAAAATCCTAGCTAGACATCAAGAGCTTTACTTTGAGATCTTATTCATAACCGAATTTAGTATAAATTAATATTTTTAATAGTTTGAAGTTAAGTCTTGGGTTCACTTGTTTGAATCTCTAGCCTCTTGCGTAGCTTCCAACTAGTCTTGGTCTTAAGGTTTAATTAAACTCTAAATCACTCCTAAAACACTAAGTTGTCGTTTGGCAGGAGGTATTAGAAAAATAATATAAGTATTAGATTTGTACATTACTAATCCCTTATTTGGTATATTTTTCCAACCTATGTATAACTAATACTTGTATAACCAAATTATAACCTAGTTTTCAACCTAGTTATACATCCTCTTTGGTATTATCCTATGTATGACTAATACATAGCAAATCATGATAGTAGCAATGCAAGGTTTTTTATACTTGTATAAGCATGATTAAAGACATAATTGCCCCTCAAATCCCTCGGTGTACAAAGTTGAATGTGGAGGTTAATTTTGTAAACAACTAATTCTTTTAGAAATTGTGCTATGCTTTTATACATAAAACCAAACCGTGAACAAGAAATAATCTCAGCATAACTAATTCCAGCATTACTTATACCCGCATTGTTAATACACCATATCCAACATCATTCTTATACTTCCTAGCAAACAACCTCTAAGTACTAATGTCATGTTCAAGTAATATAATCCATATCCATAGCCGACATTGGCTCCCAAGATGATATATTAGCGCACTTTAAAGTTTTAAAATATTATGAGATTTTAGGTTCTCTACATCAACTTCTTGTTTTCAATCTACTCCATTGGTTTATTACTCGCTCACTAAAAAACGCATTGCAACAATCCAGTGGAGCCTTACCTTTATAAGAATAGAGGCAAAATTTACCAACAAGCTTACCAACATGCACATCTAACCTTGCCGGAGCAAGTGATATTGACTTTTCGGCATCCTTTCCCGATGGGGAGTGGGGTGACATGGCAGCGAAAGAAGTAATGTGGAAGAATATGAAAGAGAGACAGATGAATTCGAGAGATGGAAAAAATTGGGAAGATTGGGAGGGATAAATTTTATCAACATGAGAGCCTAAAATCATAGAATACAATAGTTGGCTAAATTATATGATATAAAAATATTATTAAATTAAGTAATTGTTTGAAAGTTTCTAAAAAAATATAATTAGTGCTCCTAAGTTATCGTGAAAACAGTACGGGCTAGCCTGTTTTCGGAAAATTATCAGCATTTGCAAAGTCGTTGAAAAAGAGCTACTATTTTACTGCAACACGGAAATTTGCAGTATAATATACTGGAGATTGATGCACCTATGTATGAACTTCCAGCACACGGAAAGTTCCAGCATAATATACTAGAGATTGGAGCACATGTGTATGAACTTCGAGCATATGATGTTGGAACTCCAACACAGAGAAAGTTCAAGCATAATTGTGATTAAATTGTGTATGAACTTCGATCACGTGAATTTTTGAATTTCGCTTCACGTGAATTCTTATCGAGAAAGGCATGCGATTAGCCTTAATAGGCGGGTGGGCATTGTTCCGTTAAAACCGAAACAGAATAAACCGAGATTTTTTTTTTTGTTTCATCGGTTCTTTGATCAGCTTTTGTTTGTCATTTCAGTTGGGTTATCCATTTTTTGAGATTAAATAGATAATTTTATAGATATATTCTACTATTTTGTTTTAGAGAAAAAACAAATGTTGACTCCAGTCCAGTTTACTCAAATAAAACCTCGGCTTTTTCAAAGGGGTCCTGAATTGAAATAGAAATTAGAATCTGCAAAGCTATAAATAGCTCTCAATTCCTAAACCCCTCGCCGCTGCCCACTGCCGCCTCTCGCCGTCGCCGCCTCTCGCCGTTACTATTTCCGCCTCTCGCCGTCGCCGCCTCTCATGCGTGTCAGCAGTGATCAGGTTCATTATTTTTCTCTCTGTATGATTATGTGTGGTTTCTTCAATTAAGAAAAATCCTCACCACTTTAAAATTGATGGTAATTACAGTTGGTTTTGGGTATTGAAACTTACAGTAATTCAACAAAAGGCAAAATTAAGTCAGTTAGTATAATCTAAGACACAAACTGCTGGGAATTAAGGTAAACAAGAAATGAATTCTATTTTTATCAACATAAACTAGAAGGACAGACCCAATTTCTTACTGGAAGTCAAGCTAATTGTCAAGTAAGGCAAATGTTAAGCAAGTGACGGTCCGAATTCCCAACCTAGAAACGAACTATGTTGTGAAATACAAAAATGAACAATAAAGTAAGAAGCCTAGTACTTTGTTTAGTATCAGTAAAATAAAGAATTTGATTTTTAAAAAGTTACAGGTAGAAATAGAAGGAACCAGAGGCGGAGGTAGTGCACTAGTGCTCTAGTTACAGTTTCATCGAACACAATAACTTTGGCTCAGACCTCGTATATATACATTAAAAAATTCTGGCTCAGACCTCGTATATATACATTAAAAAATTCACTAATAAAGAAATAGATTTCTAACTAGAAAATCAAATGGGTTCGGGATAGAATTCCGAGCTCGAACCCATAATGTTCAAATCCTGGATCTGCCTCGGGAAGGAACTATGCTTTCCATGCTCATCCCACACCATTTAACCAACCACTTCCAGTAGTAAAAACTTAGTTTCAGTCAAGTTGGGCTAGAATCGAAATTTGGGAAAAAAAGGGTTGTAGGTTTGAAAGATCCGAAGTGTTTTAATGGAACCTAACTTTACAAACGGAACAACTAATTTTAATTTGGTTTTAATGTGCAGTCTTACAAAAATCGAAAACCAACCAACCCATCCGATTTTTTAAAAAACAGAACTGAACCGACCGATGCCCACCCCTAAAATCACCTATATTAAGGAATTTCCTCCGGGCTATCTTTTTCTTCTTAATTTTAAGTTACACAACTAGAGTTTTACAGCTAGTAGACCTATGTCAGTTGTGATAACCTAATATATTTCTTTGATTTTCTGAAAAAGAAACCAAAACCTACAGAAAAGAGAGAAAGAAGCCCAAAAAGGGGGATCAGAAATGATCTAATTAACCCTTACATGATATATCACAGATAAAAGTTGATTATCTACTATGCAACTATTTTAAGTTTAAGCATGGAGTATCACAAATCCTTCTTATACAAACAATTTTAACATAAAGAAAGTGACAGTTGTACAAATCTATCTAATTATTGAGATCTTTAGTTTAACATGATACATTAAGTATTCTAACTAAACTTTCTGAAAATTTACCCCAGTGCGTGATGCGTTGTTAGGCGCACATCACGGGTTCAAACCTTACCGCAAACAAAAAGCTTGGTATTAAGCTTGATAATCGAGGATTTCTCGATTATCGAAATTTTTTTTTTAAAATTTCTGTTTAATCAAAGTTAAGAGATGATTGGTATAAATTCAGTGATGTGTAAGAAAGAATAGAAAATGCAAGTTTCTGGAGACATTCTTAAAGAAAAAATAATAATTAAAAAGATAGAAAAAACAGTGAATATGAAATTGCATACAACAGAGGTTTTGTAGGCTGAATTGACCTTTTTGTATGATCAACAACTTTTAGCTGTCTCTTGACTAGTCCATGTCAAATTTTGGTCATATAGTAGGTGTGTGTGTTGAAACTCAAAAATTAAGGGTGTATGTAATTTCTGAACAATCTAGAGGGGTTTCCTTGTATTTTCTCCCATTTTTTCCTAAAGGAGAAAAATGTAATTAGACGTTTGACCTGAATTGGTATGGAAAAAGGTATGAGTATATTGTCATTTAACTTTATGTTTGGACCAAATTCTCTAAAGATGGCAAGGGTATGTTATATTCTTTAACTAACAAAACAGTGAAATGCCAACAAATTAATAAGAAGGTTTACCTTCCTGAGAGATTATATGTATTATGCAATTAGTATAGTTTAGCAAATGCTAGCGATAAATGGTGAGAAATGATAAAACAAAACAAAAACTACATTTACCACTTTCTTGATGAAAAAAGAGTGCGCGAGAAAGTTTATTTTTCTAGATTTTCTGTGTGTCTAATTATTAGGGTAATTTGGAAATCTTTGGTTGCAGATATCGTGTCGCAGTGCAAAAGGATGCAGTATCTGAAAGACATTGTACCGGCTGCATTGAACAATATAAACACAAAATTCATTGTCTTGGACAAAGGGAGGATAACTTTGGAAGGGCAACAAAAGATGTGTTTGGCACTAGTGGCGGATGAGACAGCTGCAGTTCACTTTCAGATGTGGGGTGATGAGTGTGATGCTTTTGAGCCTGGGGACATTATCCGGTTAGAAAATGGCATCTTCTCTTATAACCGCAACAATCTACTGCTAAGGGCAGGTAAGCGAGGCAAGGCAGAAAAGGTGGGAGAGTTTACCATGGCCTACGTGGAGACACCAAACATGAGTGAGATACGTTGGGCCCCTGATCCCAGCAATTCTAAAATATATGTGCCAGAGGCTGTTATTTCTCCCTTTTCACGAGTGTTTCCACCAGTGAATTGAGCATTGGGCAATCTTCTTTCTGACAGGTCATCTCCTTTAAACTCTCTTACTTGAATGTCGCATTTTTCCTAACTTGAGGAATAAAGCATCTCAAAAGTCGTATGGCTGAGCAAAGTAGGGAGTTACTCATTTCGCGATTTCAATATATGGTAGCCTATTGAGTTCAGATTCTTTTGAAGGGTTAGTGATGCAGTATACTGATGATCGTGAGGATTGATTCCCAGTGCATTATAGAAAGTAATGCCTCTTTTTCTCTAGCTGGATTGACCTGAGGTTCCTTTTTCTCTAGTTGGATTGTCCTGAGGCTCCTCTTGTATGCAATTTTTTGACCAAAAAGCATACTCTACTTCAATGTGCAAACAAATGAGAAAAGATCCTCAAGTCTGGTGAAGTTTTCCTACCTCCAAAATTTTGAAACATCTAGTTTCTAATGAATTAACGTCGCAGCTTTTCCTAGATTCACTTCATTGAGCAACATACTGTGATATAGAGAATCAAAAGTAAACTTATTACATATAGCTCGTAGTATTACTTTCTTTTTTTCATTATTATTTTTGTTCTGATCCATTCAGGTTAATGGATCACTTAAAAGAGTTTCCTATCTTTGATTTATTTTCTTAGGGCTCGTTTGGTACGAGGGATAAGGGATAATTAATCCCGTGATTAAATTTGAGATGAGTTTATCCTATGTTTGGTTGGGATAAAATGGCGGTATAACTAATCCCGGAATTAGTTATCCCGGGATTGTAGTGTTTTTTTATCCCTATGGGAGGGTGGAATAACTAATCCGGGATTGATAATATGGTGTTTTGAAATTTGTATTTCAGTGTGTGTTCATGACTAAAATCCAAACTCAGCAGCTATTTAAAAGTGTTCTTTTTTATAATTGTCGTAATATTTTACCATATGAAAGTGTTTACTATCTTTTAGAGCTTTCCCAACACTTTAATTAAGTTTATAACTTCAATCCAAAATCAGCAGCTTTGGGAACCAATTCTAACCAATTCTCCCAAAACTAAGATATCTATTGAGGAAATAATGCAATTACCTATAGAAACTAAAAAAATTACCCGATTTTACCCATCTTAAACTTTATTATAACTTATACACATTTGAGCCAAAAGTATTATCCGACTACCCACTCACATTTAGTTGGTTTTCTTATGTAGTTCTCCTACTCTTTCCTCTCTTTTTTTTTATTTTTTTTTTCTTTTTCTGTCTACTCTTTCCTCTTCTTAGCCGTGGATTTTTGGGGGACACATTTTCTATTTTCTTCTAGGCACATAGATATTAATGGAGCAAATAGTGTTAAACACCTGTTCAGGAAAGATCTACTAGGCTCATTCTCTGTAGCCTCATTTATTTTTATTAAGATTAATATGTTTGAATCTGAATACACATATGAATATTAAGGTATTGTATTAAGACTTGAATACCGAATAATTAAGATTGTTTATTTTCTTCGAATATGAATATGTAAAACTTGTCTTTCTTTTAAAAATTAATAAGTATAAATTCAAATAAAATAGTACTGAAAGTAGATCACTTTGGATTATTGCTTTTCGAATTTCAACAATCCAATACACGATTCAACATCTAAATCTACTCCAAATGAGCTCAAATTTGGAACATAGCCTCCAAATATCATAAAGAACAAACCGCATTCATCAATTTGTCAAAATAACACTAAATCTAACAAACTCATTTTGCAAGTAAGAAGAAGAAGAAGAAATCGTAAGCAGTAGCATAGAAAGGAGAGCCACAACAGCTACCTTAAAACATGCTCACAAACACTATATAAAAGAGGAGGAGGACCACCAAATGGGGAAGACCAAATAAGATTTTGCAAACCCCAATTTCCAAATTCAAATTTTTCAAAATATTTTAATGGTTGTCAATAGAACTTTTTAATAAATTTTATGTTTATTATAAAATCGGAGTATTTTTAATCTAAAGTACGAGATTGGATCATAGAAGCAAGCACTCAACTTCATTTATATTAGATTTGAGGAGGTCTCACATTGATTCTGAAGAAGTTCAGGCTTCAGCAAAGCAACTCATGAACAAGCGTGACATCTTTCCGAAGGAACTCAATATATCTTAAGAGCACGTAGTAGTCTCAGCTATTCGGTTCAGACTTAAGTTTGTTGATTAATTATCAAAATTTTTGAATAATTCTATCGTTTCCTTATCTGGCATATTTTGTCGTTCATCCGTGGAGATGAAACAGAGAAGAAATTCAAAGAAATTTTAGAAAATCCAAGTCGGGGAGAGGAGAGGGAGATAATGGAAAATTGGAGCCTAAAATGGGAATATCTGATCGTAATACATTACTTAATTATATATAGGATATGTAATTAAATGAGAACTTCTCTAATAGTGGTAATCTCTAATAGGTTCATAATATAGCATAAATACGTAAAATTCCATGTCTAATAAAGTTGCGAGATATGGGATCAGGGACGGATTTATGGTCTCTCCGTCGAACTAGGTATTTTATGTATATATTTTTTTAGAATTGATCCAACATTACTTGCTGGCACCCATGCTCCAAAAAAGTTAAATGGTACACTTGGTTGAATGCTAAGTTTTTTACCTAAAAAATTAGGAATCAAATTTACTTAATTTTTTTTTTCTCCTCTCTTCGGTGGTGCACGCATATTATACAAAATCTAAACCCACCTTGTATGGGATGTAGTTGCTTGAACTAGCAGTGCCAGCTCTTCTTAACGAGGCTAATCAAATACATTAATTAGGCAATCTTTTTGTTCAATGCAAGTGTCACATTGTGGTGTTGGTGTGGTTATCTGGTCAATTAAGTGCCAGATGTAGGTATTTAATCATCACCCTCTTCCACAAGCAAACAAATCAACCAAATAAATGAATTCATAAATAACTAAAATGGTGATCTGAACATAGTAACCTATAAAAGCAAAAGAAAGCCAGTTGTTTTAAATGCCTCTGACTTTCTTTTATGCCTGCTACTTACATTTATTTAGGGCTAAGCTAGCCCAGATATACTCCCTCCGGTCCAAAATAAGTGATTTTTTGGCATTTTTTTTGTGGTCCAAAATATGTAATTTTTCCAGATTTCAAGAATGAATTAATTATTTTTTTCCTACATTGTCCTTGGAGTAAATAGTGTTGGAATATGTGTTAGGAGTGTTTATGTGAGATAGTAAAGGTTAATATGGTCAATTCCATTGCTATTTAATGCTAAAAGGTGAATTTCTTAATCTGTGTAAAAACATCCAAAAAATCACTTATTTTGGACCGGAGGGAGTAACGTTTATAGAGTCAATCAAATGGTCATTCAATTATCTCAAATTGTCTCCTAAAGTCACTTTTCTTTCACTTGTAATAACAAAGTCAGTGAACTATGTCTATTGCACTCAGAAAGTAACTTAACTAGATTTTTTAAATTTTGGATTGCCAAATACCTATTTACCCTCTAAATTATAAATATTTATCTTCTTTTATTTGTTTTAAACTTTTTAATATTATGATTTTTCCCTTTTTAATTTATATTATGGACTTACTTATAGAATAAACAAATATTATTTATAAATTAAAAAAATAAAAAGTTTTTAAGCATCTATAATACCGGAATAACAAAATAATAGCATAGTAAAAAATTAATTAGAATAATTTGTTCGTAGTAATAATTTTAGCATTAACAACAAAAGTTTATTTACACAATTCAGAATGAAAGAAAATAAATTTTGTAAAATATATATTCCATCCACGTAATATAAAAATAATTATTTAAATAAGGTATTTTATAATATACATTATATATTCTTGAAATTATGCTCAATTATACTATTATGTTTCTACCAACATTCCGACGACATAAAGTTATGTCACCGGAAAGCAGGGGGACTATCTGTATAGGGTAAAATATGCTATGTTAAGTCGTGCATGCAATATATATAACATAACTGAGCATAATTTTCAAGAATATATAATGTATATTATAAAAATATTTTTATTTAAATAATTATTTTAATATTAAGTGCATGGAATATATATTTTACAACCTTTATTTTCTTTCATTCTGAATTATATAAATAAATTTTTGAATTTGTTGTTAATACTAAAATTAATATTACGAATAAATTATTCTAATTAATTTTTTTACTATTCTCATTATTTTTTTTTCCAGCATTATAGGTGCTTAAATATTTTTTATTTTTTTAATATATAAATAATATTTATTTATTCTATAGATAAGTCCATAATATCAATTAAAAAAGCGAAAAATCATAATATTAAAATTTTTTAAAAAAATAAAAAGAAGATAAATGTTTATAATTTAGAAGGTAAAATAGTTATTTGGCAATCCAAAATTTGAAAAATCTAATTGAGTGACCTTTTGAGTGCAATAAGCATAATTCAATGATTTTATTATTACAAACGAAAGAAAAGTGACTTTAGGAGATAATTTGGGATAGTTGAGTGATCATTTGAGTAATGGACTCAACGTTTATAAACATAAATAACTAAATAAGGGTTCATTCCAACTTGAAGCTTCCTTACACCTCAGACTCTCTCCTAAATCTCTCGTAGTTCGACGACAAAAGTCATGTCGGAATCCAAAATTAGCAAGAATCGATTATATAAATTTCAGAATCATTCAGCTTCTTTTGATACATTAGTTATCCAATTATATTTCAATGTGTTTTCTATAGCATAATGATCACGCCCAACTATGCCTTATAAAAAGGACTAAGCGGTCGCTGCAAATATAATCCGGTTTATAAGTCCGGAGTCGAATCCCACAGAGAACTAAGGTTTAGCTACAGCTGTTCACTATCACCAAGAAGACAAGCTTGAACAATTCCTAACCTATAGATATTAAGATTCTTGTGTTTAACTACTTAACTAACAAATTAAAATAGTAAATTAACAACTAACGATACTGAGGGTTAGAGAAAAGATTAAGGAGGTCTAGAGTTATGATTTCCCCAATTGTCGGAATCCTTCCCGCTATGTCTTCTATAATTTCGCCTAAGTATTCTCTACCGATCATGAGCACTCTTATTACCGTAAATCTCTCCCGAGTAATTACGACAATTTACTAGACGCACTCTCCCGAGCTAAGCTAGCTGGCTTTTAATACAGCTCACTTCAGATTGCACCCAAGGCTTCGTTATCCCTAATCCCGCCTTTAAACCCTCGGTTATTGATCCCTCATATACTCTGGGAGTGGTGTTGTTCAACAATTACCTAAATATGCACTCTCTCCCGAGTTATGCATACTAAATAGGCACAGCTAATTGAGAGCTCTTCAACCAACCACAATATAAACGTAGTTGAACAAATAGAGAAAAGCTATGGCTCAATTATATAAAAACATAACAAGAATTTATCCTACAAAAGGTTCTATCAGAACTCTAGATAACAAATTAGCTATTCATAATAGTATGTAAAACTACAATACTAACAGTCATAACCAACAATGAAAAATAGGAAGAGGAAGGAAAAACTCGTAGAAGAATTCTCCGCCTTGCTCCCAATGTGTTCTTGCCTCCAAGGGTGTTGTCTAACCCTAAAGTAGTGTCTCTCCGCCTCCTTAGGTCTAATTTGTGTCCAAAATATGTCCTCTTCTTGTTCTTGGCCGGCCTCCTTTGTTTAATATAGGGTTTAAGACTTAAAATCCCATGTTTTGCACTTTAGTCCCTGAAATTTTCGCTTCCTGCCGCGGTTTTGCCGCGGTCGCGGTGGAACCGTGACCAAACATGCCCTCTGATTCTTCAGTTGTCCGCGACCATCTTCTACCGCGGTTCTGCCGCGGTCGCGGCAAAACCGCGATTTTTCACCCTGTTCCGTTTGGAATTTGGAAAAACGTAAAACATGAAAG